AGGAAGAAGCAAAGTTTGGCGTTAGCTACTGAGAAAAAGGAAGAACAAACCTGGCCAACGACGGCAGCTAAGGGAAAATACTGTCTTCCGTATGAAGTGGAATCCTCATTTCGAGAGGCAACGAGTGCGCCATTGGTGGATTCCACAGCAGCAGCATTTGAAGACGCTCAAACACGGAATTGAATGGGGTTGCAGAGGCGTTTCTTAGGCTTCAAAGAAGAAGAAGAAGAAAGAAGCGAAGAAAAGGAGAGGATGTGAGTTGAGTATGATAGAAGGCTGAAGTTGAGAGGGTGAAAGAACCCAGATCTGGGTTTGTTCAAACCCAGATCTGGAGAGGAAGAAGAAGAGGGGAAGAGAGGAGAGAGAGAAAGAATAAGAAAGGTTTAAAAAAAGTCATGTGGGCTCCATTAAAAAGGAAAGTTTAAAAGGTGATAATATGATGTGTAAAATAATATGCCACGTGTACAACATAAAATGCCATGGTAACAAAATTTTCTTAACTGGATTTACACGTCATTAAGATTCAAAAAGTCTAATGATTTTGCTGGCAAGTTAACGTGACACCTGTCATTTAACTGACGGAAGGACCATTTTGGTACCAAAAATGAAAGTTCAAGGATAATTTTGGTACTTTTTAAAGGTGAGGGACAATTTTGGTACCAAAGTGTAAAGTTGAGGGACCAAAATGGTACTTAAACCTTCTATTAACGGAATGTTAACAGATGCTAACAGTCAACTAATAAAAATAACAGTCAGCTAACAGAATTGATAGTTAACTAACAGAATTAATAAAAATATTATAACCTGATATTAAGTGAGGGTTATTTTCTTTCATTTGTACAGATAATGGGCTAAAAGTGTCATAGTATAAGGTGAGGCGTTAAAACCTATCAACTTTGTAAGGTAAGGAGCTAAAACCTACTAATTTTGTAAAGTAAAAGGTTAAAAGTGTTATATTATAAGGTTAGGGTTAAAACCTACCAATTTTATTAGGTGAGGGGCTAAAAGTTGGTTTTAGCCTTCATAGTAGCCATGGAACAATTTTAGTTGTAATAGTGTTTTTTAGGCTTAATTCAATTATTAGTCTATAAACTATCATTTTAATTTCATTTTAGTCTAGAAAGTTTATTTTCTTTCCAAATAGTCTATTAACCTTGGAGAATATTTCAAAATAATCTATTGTATAAAATTTCCATTCAATTTAACGAGAAAAAGTAATCCTGTAAGTTTTGAAAAAGTAACACTATAATCTTAATAAAATATGAAGACTCAAAAAATACTTTATACAATAGATTAATTAGAATTTTTAATAAACTTGAACAATTAACTCAATTCAAACAGAGAAACTTAGTAAATTTAGAACGAGAAGTTTCAAAAGTAAATCTGTTTTACATAACAGACTGTGTGTAGTCTGTCTTATAAAATTATTTAAATGTTCCAAAAAAATAATATAAAAATAAAATTAAGGGTATTTAAATAATTTTATAGGACAAATTGTATGTAGTCCATTTTGTAAAACAGTATTATGAAAAACACATTTAGCAAGATAAGAATAAAAACTATTGTTATGGTGAATATAAATTTTAAAGA